CACTGGCTGTTCAGGTGTATTTTCACTCGGCCAGTGGGCTCGGACACTGCACTTCTCATGTTGGAACTGAGCTAGTTGGGACTGTAAAGCCAACACGAAGCAAAAAAATCTGGTCTTCTCAAGGCCTCCCTCGGGTGGCCCTGGCAGAGGCACAGGTGAGTTCCTCAAGAAGCAGTGAGGCTGAACTGGACAGGGGGCGGCGGCTTCCTGAGCTCAGAGGTGGGTCGTGGATCCTGCCGTTGCAACCTCGGCTTTTTGTTTCCAGACCCAGGAGCCCAAGTCGGGTTATAAAGTCGCACGGAAAGAAAGCCTTTTCGGTTTATTCGGTGAGGTCGTCCTTCGCAGGCCTCGGTTTGGCCTTCGGGGGACCCGAGAGGTCCAGTCGTTTAACAACTAGTCACCGCGCCGCCTGTTCCCAAGTGGAGTCAAGTCGCACACTCGGCGCGGCCATCCCCAGTCCGACGATTAGGAAGCCCCTTGCGAGCCCCAGCTGCTGCGCCATGGGACGCAGCTCCTCGTGCGCGCGGCTCAGAACCGCACCACTGGCCGGCCGGCTGCACGCGCTCGGAGCCTCGGTCGCCATCCCGCCTATTACTTTCGGGACACGCCGGCGCGGCCCCCGGCGGCCCGTGAACGTAAGCGCCGAAGCGCAGGGACACGGCGAGAGCGACCTGGCTTACGCGGGGTTTCGCGGCCATCCCCAGCCTCGGCCCCGAAGCGCCGCCGGGGCACGTCTGCCCCACCTGGGAACCCAAGTTCCTCGGAACCGCCGCACACAACTGAACAGGGGAACCCGGGGGACGCTCGCCCACTTCCGCCAAAACCGGCCGATAACAGCTCCTTCCGGCAGTCAGCGAAATGGGGCTGCGGCCGGCCCCCGGAGGGCGGGTCGGGGTGTAGCCACGCCCCCACCATCCGGCTAGCCTCCAGCTGAGCCAGGCACCGCCGGGGCCCTCCTTCGTGACGTCACTTCCGGGGCTGCCCGGGCGGGGCCCGAGCCGGGGCCGCTGGCCTCAGCTGTCTTGGCTCAACCGCGCGCCACGTCCCATCGCCGGCCGCGGGCGCTTCCCAGCCGTCGGAGGGCCGCCGGGCCGCTGCGGGCCTGCCGCGCCCGGGTAAGGGACTCGCGCTGCAGTCCAGGCAGCAGTTGTTAGGGCTGCCTCGGACTGAGAGAGGGAGGTAGGTGGAGGGCAGGTGGAGGATGAATGAGGGCGCGAGAGGCAGGAGTAGGGGGACTCGAGAAAGGATGAATGGGGACGGAGCGTGGAAGGCGGTGAGGAATTGAGGAGAGGAATAGGAGGAGGGAGGGAGGAAGGACCGTGGCCCTGGAGGAGCATGGACGGGGCCCAGGAGGGAGGAGGTTGAAGCGGATCGCAGACGGGAGGAGAGGCTAGGTTGTGCCAGTTTAGGGGCAGTTGGGACATTCCCGAGGGCGCGGAGAACCGAAGAGGTCTTCTTGGGGCAAGTCCCAGGCCAGACTGGACCCCAGGGAGTGTTGGTTTCAGAGAGAATTGATCCTTTGGGTGACCCAGGCCTCTGCCCTCAGACCTCTACCTGGGAAGGGGCTGTGGGTTTCCGTCGGATTTTCCCCCCTGCCCATCTCTACCTGCCTACCTCCCCCACGTGGTTGCTTAGTGTGTGCACTTAACTGTTAGGCTGATGCCCAAAATCAACACGCACGTGACAAGAAACATGGTACTTAGAAATTTGACTTCAACACTTTGCAATTATTTCTACCCCAAGGAAGTATCTTTGGATTTTCAATGAAATCAGCAAGAAAAGTTTTTAAAATACAAATTTCCCATTTATATGCTGGGCCTGCCTAATAAACAAAGGAATGTTAAATCTACCCATGTCACCAGCAAAAGCTAGACTTTAGCATTTAGCCATGATACCAAAACTTCCATAAACCTGGAAGCAAGCAGTGTGATTAAGATGATGTCCAATGTTCCAGATTCCTATCTGCCACATGGACACATCCTTTGGACCACAGGACAGTGTCTATATACACAAAACTGTAAGTTTGTGTTCCTTGGGGTTCTGCTACCAAAGTTCAGTTGTGACGTGTCAGGATTAGGTGTGTACAGTTTGCCCTGTGTTGACTTTATCCCTGTTCCTTGGTATGTAGGTACAGCTTCCTAGGCTCAAGTAAGGACTAGAACCATGTTCTTGCTAATAATAACATGACAGAGTATGGACATGACACTGGTAGTACTTTACCAAGCCTGAGGATTATTCATATTGGATCTGTTTATGCCAGAAAGAAAGAACGAATTTGAACTCCCAATTTCACATAACTTGCACGAAGCATCCTATGTATCACTAACAGAGAGTTAAAACTGAGCCAAGGTTGGGCTGGGGTTGTAACTCATTGGTGGAGTGCTTGCCTCACCAGTGTGAGGCCCTGGGTTAGATCCTCAGCACCACATGAAAATAAATAGATGAAAATGAGGATATTGTGTCCATCTACAACTAAAAAAAATTTTTTTAAAAATTGAGCCAAGGTTTGGAGCACAAGAAATCAGAGACAAGAGGGGTTGGGAGGCATCGCAGGGTCATAGAGCAGAAAAGGGTAGGGAAGTTGGCATTCAGGGGCACAAGTCTGGGGGTGCCTTTCTTGTGGGCTGTCACCTGGCCCAAGGGTGTGTCCTGCTGCACATTCCTTGCAGATCCTGTGGAGAGCTGATTCCTGAAAAGGAGCAACTTACCTCTCAATTTTCTATCTGCCCTGGCCTCTGGCTGAATTTTTTCTTTCTTTTTTTTTTTTGGTACTGAGGATTGAACTCAGGGGTGCTTAACCACTGAGCCATATCCCCAGCCCTTTTTTTGTATTTTATTTAGAGACAGGGTCTCACAGAGTTGCTTAGGACCTTGCTTAAGTTTCTGGGGCTGGCTTTGAACTCGAGATCCTCCTGTCAGCCTCCCGAGCTGCTAGGAGCCACTGGGATTACAGGCATGCGCCACCATGCCCAGCTAACTTAATTATTTTTAAAAGCTTCTTTTCTTGTTTTATACACACAAAAATACTTGCTGGGTTTGAACCCAGGGCTTTGCACAGGCTAAACAAGCACTCCGCCACTGAGCTACCTCCCCGTGCATTTTGAATTTTATTTCCAGATAGAGTCTTGCTAAGTTGCTCAAGCTGGCCTCAAACTTGCAATTCTCTTGCCTCGGTCTCCCAAGTAGCTGGGATTACAGGTGTGTGCCACCACACCCAGCTTAATAATTCTTTCTCTAGATAATAATGAGAGTAACTAGATAGGTCCTGAGGGCTAGATTTTCATTTAAGGCTCACAGAAACCCTTTCAGGGAAAACTATTATTTTAAATCACATTAATGGTTTCTCCATTCTGAGTCAGCTTGTAAACATTAGTACAGGTCCCCACCTGTGACCTTGACATTGAGAATATTCTATTGGAAAGTGGAGGCAGGACCATATCAGAGAGTTAAAGTCATGGCAAAATGAAGGCCTGCTCTTGAATCCACATGATAACTCATTCCTGTTTCTGTGGGAGTGACCACCAGTGCTGCTGGCCAGGAGTGAATAAACAGGGTGATATTCAGCAGAAGTTTTCTGGGAAAGTTTTAGAGTTTTCAGAGATAGCCTTATGGAGATATTCTGTGTGTGCATTTACCTGTATGTGTGTGTGTGTGTGTGTGTTCAGGTGTGACTGCACACATGGCCATGTGCTGCTGGATATGTTTGTGGCTGTGTGTGCACCTGGCCTTTTGTTTTGGGGAGCAGGCCCATGGGGGTCTCTGGACATCAGCACCTACTAATATCTGCCCACTATAGAAGGTAATGAGCTGTTTATACAATCTTCTGTGTTCACATTAAATATTCATCAAGGAGAGAATCATTTGTGCTGCTTAATATCTTTGCATTATACTTGGGACTCCTGGATTCTTCTATAGCTCCAGCTGGCTCCTAGAACAGTGTGCTTCCTGATCTGTAAATCACATAGTTTCTCTAAATTATTAAGATCTACACATAAAGCAGTGTCAAGTGAGATCACTTTGTGACATTGTGCAACTAGCTCAAAGTACTTTAAGAAAATCAGTTTTGTTTAACTGGAGCCTTTCAGAAGTGTTTTCCGAAAGTGATACATGCTTGTTTAAAAAAAAAAAAATGTGGAAAAGAAAGAAAGTAAAAATTGCAGATCAGTCTGTTCCCCAAGGCTGATCTTTAGTAACTTTCTAGTATAACTCTTTCCAGACCTTTATTAAATTTCTGTTTAAACAGAACTCATGGTATGCATTCTATTGTGTAACCTGCTTTGCTTGTGTAATGATGCATGCTATGCCTCTTTCCAGGTTAATAAATATAAATTTGCATATTTTAACAGCTGGCATAGTATTTTATATGGAATGGAACAGTCCTTTATGGTACTAGTAGAGTATTTTGCTTCATTTTGAACATAATGTATGAAGAAAATCTTTGTACATCTGTCCAGTTGCTTCCTCAGAAGACATTCCTGCCGTAGAAATTGCTACATCAGAAGTTTGGGCATTTGGTGAATGTTGTCACTTTCTGATCATATTGATCAGTTGTCCAGTGGTGCTCTGCCCTCTCTGCCCCCTGCCCAGTGTTTCCCCGGCTTTTCCTAAGGAGTGTTCACTCTCTCTCCAACCCTAGATGCATCGGTCACCACAGAGGAGCATTCACCTTGGTGCCACACGTGCCACAAAGCATGCCACGGCCTGGGGGTGCCTTGCCAAGCTGCTCTCACCTACGCAGCCGGACCTCACCTGTCAAGCACTGCAGTGCCAAACCCACAGCTCCCCAAGGAGGAAGATGGCCCAGCCTGCAAGCACTCCCTGAGCAGCTGCCTCTGGTGAGTGTCCCCAGCCCTGCAGGGTGGGCCTGCCTGTTTGGAGATGGGACAATAAGCTTGGAGAGACCCCTGAGGGGGCTTTGCAGGGTCAGCAGAAAGACAACCAAGCCTTCCAGTAACCAGGGGGATGTGGTATATGGCCTTTGCCATCAAAGGTCCTGCCTGTTGAGTAGACTAGGATGGCGGTCCAGCCAGGGACAGATGTAGGGAATGGAGACCATGAAGTCTTCTGTAGTTCTTTTCTGCTTCCATGACACAAATGCAGGTTCCTACAGGAGACTCTTTCAGCTTCACGTCACAATACTCTCAGGGGCCCTGTAATACGCACAAGGGATGCTACATCTCACTGATGCTGGGGGACAGAGGAGGTGCCCCCTAGCAGAAGACTGAGTAGAGGCTCCAGGTCCTGCCTGTCCCAGGTGAGGAACTGGATGGACAGGAGCAAGCCCTTTGGGATATGGACTCAGTCCTTCCCTGCCTTAGCTGGAACTGCGACCTGAGGTCGGCAGACATGCTGGAGCAGCAGTGGGCCCAACCCCACACGCCGCCTGCTGGTGTAAATGAAGTCTTATTGGATACAGCAGCACCATCCCGCAGGTCTCCTGCAGGGCTGCCTGTGCACTAGGTGGCAGGGTTGATTAGCTGCCACACAACAGTCTGGCCCACATAGGCCACAGTATTTGCCTCCTGACCTGTCCTAGAGACTTTCAGCAAGGGGGCATGGAAAGGCCCTAAGGCCCGGGGTGTGTTCAGGAAGCCAAGACCCTCCTTGCACACAAGAAGCCCTGTCACATCCTCCCACCTTGGATCCACCAGCTGACTTCCAGCCAAGGGCCCAGCACGGGGAGCGTGCTGGGCCAGTGCTGGTGCTGTAACGGCATGCCGTGACATCACTGGCCACAGAGAGAACCGTCTGAATACATGCAGGAACCTTCCATCTCGGTCCTTCGCTCAGGATGTTGCTTTGTCTCTTCTCCCCACCCCACTCCCATTTTTTCTGTCAGAGCAAGGAATGCCTTTTGTACCCTAGAAAACAAATGCAAGCCTTGTGACCCTTTTAGCGAAGTTGCAATTTAAAGGTAGAAAAGTCAGTGGCTCTTGGAAAGGGATGGAGGCCTCCGGGAACAGCCCAGCCTTCCGTGAAGGTTCTGCATGAAGACTGTTCCAGCCACAGGCCGCACACAGGAGTCCCCATTGATTACAGGTCACTGGCCACCACTGGGTATCCTTTTATGCAGCACAGGGCTGCTTGTGTGTAGCTCTCAGCATGGCTGGACATGCTTTTTGGGGTGGCTGATGGCTGAGCCAGGTGTCATGCTGGGTGCCTGCTGCATGACCCATGTCACCCTTACACACCTTGATGAGGTTCAGCGAGGTGACGTGACTTGCCTGCCCACCTGGTGAGCCCAGGAGCTGGGACTGAGCCCTGCAAGACTGCTTGTCCCCACGCCCCCGCATGGCTCCTGGGTCCTGCTGCTGTAGCTTCTTCAAGGGAGGGGCTGTGAGCACTGTAGGAGCCAAAAGACGGCTTGTGGCAGCATCCAGTATGTCCCTCAGTCCCCAGGGATGAACAGACGCTGACCCAGCACCCCATTCCCAGTTTACCTGCAGCTGTGGGGCTTGGACTCACTCTGCTGTGGACTGCTGGGTACCGGTTTCCTCATGCTCGTTCTTGCTCATTGTTGTTAGTATTTTACTTTTTAAAAAAATCCACACTAAATAAAAACAAAACAGGGGCTGGGATTATAGCTCAGCGGTAGAGTGCTTGCCTCACACATGTGAGGCACTGGGTTCGATCCTCAGCATCACATAAAAAATAAATAAATAAAGATATTATGTCCATCTTAAAAAAAGTCTTTTAAAAAAAAGAAAAATCAAAAGCCAAACCAAATGCACACGATTCTTCTAAAAATGCACTGAGGCCTCAGTGTCCCCTGTAGAACGATAAAAGGAAGGAAGGGGCTCTGCCTCGCTGGCAAGTGGAGGGGAGCTGAGGACCTCGGTGGCCTGCTGTGTGGTCCCCGGGATGCTAGGGGTGAAAGAGGAAGAGAAACCGCCCCTGCCTCCCAGAACTGAGCTGGAGAGGCAAGAGCTGGGGTCAGGAGTGGAGGCCAGAGCGCAGGAAGCGCCCGGGCAGAGGCCGTGAGGGCGGGAGGGGGCTCCTGAGGATGCCGCCTGGGTGGGAGATGAGCAGCTGTTCCTGGGCAGGGACCCAGTGACCTCAGTGCTGCCCAGAGGTGGGACTGCAGGTGTTCCACGGGTGCAGGGTGAGATCCCCACTGCGCGTGGTTCGTGGGATCGGTGGCCTCTCCGGCGCAGCCGCACCTCGCTGCTCTCCCCAGTTTCTGATGCTGCCGTCAGCTGCCCCCACAGCGCACCTCCACCAGGTGGATCCCAGACAGCTTTCAGAATGTGCCCAGCTGTTACTTCCCCAGGAGCCTTTCCTGCCGCACCCACCCCACCACCACTGACTGAACGCAGTGTCCTCTGGGTCACTGTGGCACCCTGTCCTCTGCCAGCCTCACCCAGGCACCCCCAAGGCCTCTGCCTGAGGACCAGCCCACCTTGCTTCAGGCCTGCCCAGATACTCTCTCCCTCCTGCTTCCCTGCCCAGGTCAGGCCTGCTCAACGCTCACGCTGGCCCGCAGTGACCTCTTTTCTGTGTCTCCCACTGGGCTGCATGTCCCCTAGAAGATGGAGTGCGCATTTGTCTTTTTTTTTTTTTTTTTTTCTGGTATTGAGGATTGAACCCAGGGGTGCTTAACCACTGAGCCACATCTCCAGCCCTTTTTCTTATTTAGAGACAGGATTTTTTTTTTTTTTTTTTAGTATTTGGCGGACACAACATCTTTGTTTGTATGTGGTGCTGAGGATCGAACCCAGGCCGCACGCATGCCAGGCGAGCGCGCTACCGCTTGAGCCACATCCCCAGCCCAAGACAGGATTTTTATTTTTAATATTTATTTTTTAGTTATAGGTGGACACAATACCTTTATTTTATTTATTTTTTATGTGGTGCTGAGGAGCCAACCCCGTGCCTCACGCATGCTGGGCGAGCACTCTATCTCTGAGCCACAATCCCAGCCCCAAGAGACAGGATCTTGCTGAGTAGCTTAGGTTTTCACTAAATTGCTGAGGCTGGCCTCAAACTTATGATCCTCCTGTCAGCCTTGAAGCCACTGGGATTACAGGCGTGCACCACCATGCCCAGCTCATTTTTCATCTTTTGTCTGCCTGGAACAGGAGTAGATGCTCAGCAAATGGGGGAGGGGTAAGTAAGTGGGTGGGTGGGGGTGGGGAATATTCAGGTGTACTAGGGGGGGATGGGGTGGTGGGTGGTTCCATGATGCCCCTATGTGAAGGGTGTGGTCAGATGACATAGGGCACATGGGACCCTGGCCTAACTTGTTCTCTGCCAACCTTGAGAGAAGCTGAGGACCAGGACTTGGCCACTCTCGATGTGAAAGGTCTTGGTGTGGTGAGTCGTGGCCTTCTCCTATCCTTCCAGACCCTGGCCTCTGGGCTGGGGGCGTAGACTCACCCAGGCTGAGACTCAGAGTGAAGGTGGGTCAGGCACTTCAGCCGGTAACCAGGCAGGCCGTTGTGACCAGCAGGCTGCCACCTGGTGCTTTGCCTGGCCTGATCTTGGCTCAGTTTGCACCCTGGGCCCTCTAGAGCCCTCCAGGGTGGCTGCGGTGTTCAGGCAGGTGTTGCTGATCAGACGCCTTCTGACTGGGGTGCCTTCTTGACCCCAGATCCTTCAGCCAAGCAGAAAGCTACCGCTGACAGCCTGAGAGCCTCAGGGACTGCCCTGCCCTGCCCTGCTCAGACTCCCCCAAGATGTGGACAGCCCTCATGCTGGTTTGGCTTTCCTCCTTGTCCTTATTTGGAAGCCAAGTGACATCTCAGGAGCCAGGTAAGTGCAAAAGCTGTGTGGCTTCTGGACAGACCCCTGGTTGGCCCCCAAGCACCCTGAGCCCATGAGAGAGGTGTCTGCAATCCCTGGAGATTCCCAGGTGCTGGGCTGGGAAAGGTTCGTGTGAGTGGGGACCCCCAGAAGGACAGAGCAGTGGAGCCCTTGTGGGGAGTTCAGTCATTCCCCTCCAGAATTTAGCTGCCTCCTCCACTGCCCCAGGCCTGTTCATCTCCAGGAATTCCCATACAGACCCTGTTCCAATGCTAAGGGATCTTGCAGGATTCGAGCCCGTAAGGCCAGCTACCTGCTCCATAAACCCAGGAGCATGCACGATGGGTTTGTTTTAATGGCGTATCATACCCGCAGTGCAAGACTTTCAGCCATATTTGGGGAATTGGATCAAATAGCAAAGCTTTTCAGCCTCCACCAGGCCAGAGTTCAGAGAAGGTGAAGGATTCCAAAAGCAGAGTGCCTGGGCTTCTCCAGTGGGCAGGAAGAGGAGCCGCGGTCACCAGTGGCTCCCTGCACGTACTGGGTGGAGAGGAGAGTCCCGCCAAGCCAACCCTGGGCGCTGGCGCTCAGGGACCACAGGGGGGGCGCACCCGCATGTGGCTGGAAGTGATCGCATCTCTTTTTATGCTTTAAGGGTCCCTAATCCCTAACAAGACAGAAAATGTGTTAGTGAAGAAAAATGCGTCCCTGGACGCTGATGACAAAACCACCACAGTGACACACGCTCCTGTCATGTTGACCCAAGCGACTGTGGCAGCCAAGCTTACCTTTGCTCCAGCCTCAGCAGAGACGACACAGAAGACAAATGTGAGCACTCCAGCGGCTGCCCCCCCATCGCCTATCCCCACATCTGTACAATGGACCCCATCCACAGCAGCTGCCGGACCGCCGTCTCCCAGCTCGCCCCTCGCAGGAGGACCCACGTCTCCCAGCTCGCCCCTCGCAGGAGGACCCCTGTCTTCCGGCTCGCCCCTCACAGGAGGACCCCCATCTCCCGGATCGCCCCTCACTGGAGGACCCCCGACTCCCGGCTCGCCCCTTGCAGGAGGACCCCCATCTCCTGGCTCGCCCCTCTCAGGAGGACCCACGTCTCCCAGCTCGCCCCTCACAGGAGGACCACGTGGCAGTGCACTGCCCGGAGCAGCAGCAGTGGCAACAGAGGCCACGCGGGCCCTGGCTGCTACTGCGACCAGTACCAGCCGTCCCAGCAGCACGCTCCGTCCTGCAGAGCACACGCCCCGCAGCTCCACGGCAAGCCCCACACCCCCGGCCCGTCCCCAAGCACAAGATCCCACCGTCCGGGTGTTGCCAAGCCAGCCAGTGCTCAACACAACAGGGTGGTCCACACGCCCCCCAGACACCACCCCAGAGCCCACCACCACCCACTCCGAGACTCCAGTGTCCTCGACAGTGGAGACTGTGGTTTCCTTGACGGCAGTGACCGCCACCCAGGTACGAGCCGAGAAGCCAACTGCCAGCACAGTGCCAGTGCCTCTCACCAGCCCAACCCCTGAGGTGGAGGCCACATCCCCCACCACTCAGCCAAGCCGGTCGTCACCCACCCAGGGGGCCAGTGGCCCAGGCACACTACAAACACCGGAGCAGGTGAAAACCAAGACCACACCTGGTGCTGCCTCCACGGGACCCACACCCACGGACATGTGCCCACTCAGCACCCAAGGCCAGTACCTGGTGGTCACCACCGAGCCCCTGACCCCGTCCTTGGTGAACAAGACGTTCCTCCTGGCGGTGCTGGTGCTCGGGGTGACCCTGTTCATCACAGTGCTGGTGTTGTTTGCCCTCCAAGCCTACGAGAGCTACAAGAAGAAGGACTACACGCAGGTGGACTACCTGATCAACGGCATGTACGCAGACTCTGAGATGTGACCGCGGAGCGGGCGGCCCCTCCTCCGCCCTCCATTCTGCCTCTAAACCGAACCAAGTGCTTCCAGATCTCTCGGTGCAATTCAGAGATAAGCCAGATGCTTAGGCACATTTAATCCATGTCAGATTAACTCCTCCATCACGAAAGAGTTGCTGCTTTTCATATTTATTTTTGTAAATGATCATGTGCTTGGGAGCAGCCGGGATCCTGCTGTGGGTGGGGCGGCAGGCAGGTGGGCAGGCCCTGGCCCGCCCGGCCCCAGTGTGTCGGATCCTGACCAGAATTAAAGCGATGTCTGCTCTCTACTCAGGACGTCTGCTCGGGTGTCAGTGTGTGCTGCCCGCCGAAGCCCAGGCCGGAGCCTTGGCATTTTTCTTCTCTTTTTTTTACCTAGAGGCCCATGGTCCGCGCAGGCGCTCCACGCCCAGTCCTAGAGCAGCAGCCCGACATCTGCCTTTGTAAACATTCAATGTAATGGAGGCCCTGGAGGGTCTGCTGTGTCTGGCCCAATTTCATGTGCTTCCTCTGATGCCCAAGCCTGCCCGGACACCTGCCAGGAGGCCCCCAACCTGTGTTGTCCTGTGGCCTGTGGCCTGCTGTGGCAGCCTGTTGGAGCATGATTTGGGCAGGAAAGGGCCGAATCCAGCACATGCTCCACACAGCACAGCCAGAATCTTCCCAGTACACAGTTGAGGAGTTAGGATGATGGCTACTAGTCTAATGAGGCCAAGTCCCTTTCCCCGGGTCACCCTAGGCCCCAGAGCCTAGTCCTTAGCAGGATACTTCTGGACCCCCAGGTCTCTTCTGAACAGCAGCCAAAGGCAACTTTTTCTGGCCACTGTCCTGCAAATGCAGGTAACTCACCAAGCCCTCATCTGGCAGATCAGTCCCATAGTCTGCATTTTAAAGATGGGACCACTGAGGCCCAGAGAGGTCTAAATACTGGTTTTAGAGTCGGCTCTTGAACTTTCTTTACCAACTGCCCAGGCTGAGCTTGGCCTTTGATCTCATCCACCTGCCCAAAACATTGAGAACTGATGGGGCACATGCAGGGCTGGGCACCCAGGCCAGGTCTGCAGCTGCCAACAACCTAACATAAGTTGTGGAATGTTTCAGAGCTCTGCTTCATCTGGGAAGTAGAGACCATGCCTTCAGGGCGGGCATGGTGGCTCTTGCCTGGCCCCACACAGGGCGGGGAGTTAGTCTTCCTCCCCAGCTCAGTGCCACAGCCAAGGCTGGCTTCCTCTGACATCGCCCTTTGCCTTCCCAGAGACCACTCTGGGCTGGGGCCCAGGGTCCAGTTTCCCATCTAAGTTCTGCCTTGACCAAAAAGGATTTCAGGTGGCCCATGATAAAAAGGCAGCAAACTCCCTGACCATTTGGAAAGTCCCCAGTGGGGGAAGTGCCATTACAGAGGTAGAACTCCCACTCTGCTGTAGCTAGCTGACCCCCTGCAGCTTGCTCTGGCCCTTCCGTTGGCCTGGCCCGCCCACCAGCCAAGAGGGTGACTGCTTCAGCCCCTAGCTCATCTGTCCTGGGCTCCTTGCAGCTCACAGCATTGTCCTCAAGAGTCTGAGCGGCCACCTGCTGCTGGAAGCAGGCAGCTCTGCCCTCCAGAGGAGGAGAATCAGGGGCAGGGGGCTTTGGAGGATGCTCTTTCCTCTGCCACCATAACCCCAGGGGTGGTAAGGGCAGCTCCCCTCCTGGCTGGTGGAGTCTTACCATGGGGAGCCAGAGCCCTGTGCTGGAGGCTGTTGTGGGGATGGAGGAAAAGGAGCAGCCACAGGGCTGGTCTTGCTCTGTGGCTTGTGACCCAAGGGCCTCTGCCTGGCACATGTCTGCAAGGAAGGGAAACAAAGGAGGCAGAGTCAGCCTGACACTGTCCCAGCCAGGGGCCCAAATTCCATCATCGCCTAGGGCAGCTGGTTGCACTCTCTGTGCCTCCCTCGTGGAGAGCCTACTCCCTGCCATTTACTGTCCTTTTCTTGAGGATTGCTCTCCCGGGGGCCACAAGGGCCTCAAAAATCAGGGCATCCAAGGCTGAGTCCAACATCAGCCCCACGACCCTCCATGTGCCAAAAGTATCACTGCTTACCTGAGCTAGAGACCTGTTTCAACCATGGGTCCAGCTGCAGCCCTGCCACTGGCTGCCCACCCATCTGCTCCCAAGCAGCCCCAGCCCATGTCCTCTATTGCCACAGCTGTCCCTGCCCAGCACCCTTCCCTAGGAAACCCTCTGGTGGGTCATGGACACACACAGCGCAAGAGAAAGAGCCAGGCTCATGAAGGCCCCTCCACGCGGGGCTGCCACTCTGGACTGAGCTGTCTCCCTGCCTCGGAGGACAGGTCGTGCAGTGAGCCAGGCCTTGGTAACTGTTGTTTGCCACCTGGCTGTGAACTCAGGATAAGAGGCCCATCCCCACCCTCCAAATACTCAGTGCCGAGAGCGAGGTCCACCCTGGCCCTGGTGGGAGAACAGTGAAGAAGGGACAGGTGGGAACTCGGGAGGTGCCTAGCCACCTGGAGAGCCCGGGGAAGGCTGCCTGGCAGAGGGGGCTTCAGGGCTTTCTGTTCCGGCAACAGGGTGGCCGCTGATCCAGGGCACAGCGCAGCACTGGCTCACGGCAGGGGCAGTCCCTATTTGATGGACAAATCTGCACACAAGTTACCAGAAGGCCAAGGTGAAAGTGAGAGTTGATTCAGGTTTCAGCCCCAAAAAGGCTTTGTTTCACAGGACTCTGAGGTGCAAAAAGATCAAGTCCCTTTCCCAAGGTCACCCATCAGGCAAGTGGCAGGATAGGGGCCAGCCTGTTTAGACTGTCCACGATGTTGGCTGGGGAGCAGACGTGCAAGGTGGCCACAGCAAGAGGTTCTGCCTGCAAAGCTGCCGGTAGGTAGGTCCCCACGGCAAGGGCAGCAGGCGGCAGGTTTCACACAGGGGCGGCCAGTCCCCAGAGGAGGTACAAGGGCGCCCCCTGGTGGCCCAGCTGTGCCTACCCACCTCCAGCTTGGCCTGTGAAACCCCTCCAGCCATCTCCCCTGACTCCGGAAAGCGTCCCAGGATACCCCACACTGGAGAACTGGCCCTGTCGGTGGCGCAGCCCAGATCTCATCTCCCGCTGCGGGTCAGCATGTTCCAGGTGCAGTGATGCCATTTGTGCCTATAACTGTCTCCCTGGAGAAGGCAGCCTGCAGGCAAGGAGACTCCGGGAGGGAGCTCACGTCCTGGCCGAGCTGTCCCAGAGCTGCTCGGCCGGGTCACTCGGGGCAAACTGTGTCCACACTTAGCTGTGATTTTTATATCTACTCTTTGCTTAAAAATAAGAGGAGTGGGGGGCTCGTTGGGGCGGTGACGGCAACGCCTGCTGAGCGCTGTCTGCCAGGCCCCAGCCTTCCCTGCTGTCCCCACCATCTCGGATGGCGCTCCCTGCTCCCCACCCCACCCCGCTCCTCCCGCGCTCAGCAGCCAGCAGGATATTTTTAAACCGTAACTCAAATCACAACACTCCTGCTCTGTTCCCTCCGTGGCCTCCCACTGCGATTAGGGAAAAAATCCAAACATTTTAACTAAAAACGCACGTGGCCCGAGGGAGGCAGCATGAAAAGCCTGGGGAACAAGGGGGGCTCCGCGGGCGCAGACCGGGAGGCCCGGGCCCCCGGACCGATGCTAGGCTGGCCAGTGTGGGGAGAAGCGGGACTGGAAGGGGCAGTCAGGGCCCGGCTGGGTGACAGGAACAGGGTGAGGAGCTGGGGGCCCTGGGAAGGTTTCAGCAGAGGGATGACGTCATGGGACCGAGGGTTTAAGCCGCTGTTTTGTGGCTCTGCGGTGTTGACAGATGGAGTGACGCTCTCTGAGATGTGCTTCAAAAGGCTTCACCTCCCAGAGAATGTCCTGGGCGCAACCCAGAAGGTCCACCGTGGCTGTCCATCCAAGACAGGGGTGGGTCCCTGGGGAGGGGGCGTTCCTACTGCTCCAGGCTTGTGTGTCTGGAATTTTCCATGATGAAAAGTTAAAAGAAAAAGGGGGATGGAGGGAGGGTGGAGTTGTGACTTCCATGTCATAAGTGGATCCTCATTCTGGTTGCCAGCAGGAGGGGCTGGGAGGCTGCTCCCTTGTCCCCAGGGTGAGGGTGCTGGCTTGGGCCAGGGAAAGAAGCCAGGGAACCTGGGGACCTGCTTTGGAGGCCGAGTCGATAGGACTGCCACTGTTTCTTTTGTTGTTGATTGGGTTCTGCCGATGGAGCCCAGGACCTGCTGGGCCGGTGCTCTACCACTGAGCCATGCCCAGTCCTTTTTCAAATATTTTGTGACAGAGTCTCACTAAATCGCCTAGGCTGTTCTCCAACTAGCCATCCCCTTGTCTCATCGTCCCAAGCAGCTGGACTTACAGGCATGCACTATGCTGCCTTTTGAAGAGGGGTGTAGGTGGATTTGCGGGGTGGAAATCAAGACTTCTGCAGTGGGTGTTTAGGCAGAGATGCCTACTGACGTGAGGACGTCGGAACAAGCCCAAAGCTCAGGGAAGACCCTGCAGGAGAGACGCGTATCACAGTCTCCCCACAGTGGGATTTCTGTGCCCATCTCCAGATATGGACACTAAGGACAGGAGGTTAGGGGACTCTCCTGAGGTCATATGTAGGAAAGGGATGTGCCCACATTGAGCCCTGTCCACTTGGCTCCAAAATCTCTGCTTTCTCCCTGCTCCATGGCAGTGTATGCACATGGAATCAACCTGAAGCACTGAATTGCTTGACCAAGCTGCCGCAGCCCAGCTAACCCATCCGGCTTCTTCATGAACCAGCTCAGTGTCCTTGCAGAGAAAGCCCAGGCAGGGCTGGGTTCCACTTCCTGATGACAGGATCCCCTTGGACAGACAAGAGCGAAGCCTGCGCTGTTAACATGCCCAGGAGACAGAGGCCAGCTGGAGGCTGGATGTCCTTGTAAAAGGAAATCTGTGAAAGAGAAGACCCCGCCCCACTCCTGGCCTGGCTCCTGAGTCTTTGGGAGACCCCCTCCCAGCTCAGCATCTGAGAGGCCCAGAGAACAGTTCCAGACCTGGGCAGCTCTTTGTCTCAGGGAACTTATGATTGCGAGGCACAGAAGCCCTAGGCGTTCCACAGAGGGGAGCTTTCTTGCAAAGACAGATCTGCCCAGCCTCCCAGGGCCTGACCTGGCTCTGCCCCTCTTCTCTCTGCTCAGCTCTGGCAAGGCTCTTAGGTCTGGCTTCCTCCAGGGCAGGCCTGGCCTTAACCGTCACCCCATTAGGGACCCATTTCTACTGCCACGTCCAACTCCCAAGGTCCCT